GAATAGCCTATTGTCAACATAATTATGGAGTGTGATTTATTTTCAACTCAAAATATATTCAAACTAATGAAATATAGTTACTGGTGAGAAAAATCCGTCTGGATAACAGCAGACTGACTGCTGGTAAAATATACGACAGGTCTGGACCACTCGTGAATTTTGTTCGTATCTGAAAAAAATCTTAGAATACGAAAACATTGGTGAATGTCACAAATTCTCCTAAATCACTCGTACGCACAACTTAAGAACAAATCTGTGCGTACGAACGGTTCTTGCATGAGGGCCATTGTCATTGAGCGATATTACTGTATCGGACATTGCTAGTTGGTTGCTAGACGTGCGCACGCAGGAGCTACATTATACACTGAAGAGCATCAACAAATTCAATATATGTCAATGGATTGTCCTCTTGAACAAAACTCTTGTAAAGATTTTTCTCTTCCTCAATTTTAATAAACTATGGTTRAAAATAAATTTCAGGAAATTGTGAATGTTCTGGTTTGCAGAAATTGAAAATAAATAACTAATTTAAATGACTAACAGTACATAAACATTTTGTGTTTTACGTATGTTTATGCATATATTTATGCATTCTGACCTACTGGATATTCATGTATGTGTTTATCAATCAATGAATATTTATCATCAGACCAGAGCCTTGGGGATTTAACATGATTAAATAAGACTCATCTTTCAAGTATGTTTGATTTAAATTTATATGTAATTATACAAAGAAAAAATTTCAATCAAATCTGTGAATGACCGCTTCAACTTCGCTGTAATACAGACCYCTACAGAAGATCTTTCCTGCCCACAGCCATCAGCATCTACAATAACTCTTWAGTTAAATGAGTTTATARATCATCTAATCCCTCTGGGATCAATAAAGTATTTTTTAATTTGAATAAAATTACAGAGCTATACAAGACAACACAATATGTGTTTATGCTGTTTGATAGTTTTATGTCAGTAACTTAAAAAAAAAACCCAAATAACTTTACAGAAGTTTTACTGTAAACGATACAATCAATTTAACATAAATGCAAATTATTTCAGTTCACAAAGAAATGTTCAAAGAATTTATGTTTATCACAAAGAATTATTCTTCAGCTGCATATTGATGAATGCTGTATCTGACACCAACAATCATTAACCAACAACTGYTACAATTTTTTTTCTATATGTCTGGAAAACTGAAAAACCCACATATTGAGTGTAGAAAATATAATGTCTGAATAAACTGGCCTGTCTAACAATTTGACAAGGATGGTTTTGTTTTACGTTTATGATGCTCGTCGTTATATTACTGTCTCTGTTCGGGTTTATCAGGTGACGCCCAGTCAAGTAATACAGATTAATGGTCAGTGTCTCACTATGCTGCATTCAAGGAGTTTTCAGAATGTCTGGAGAGATTTATGGGAGTTCTCTTTAGTTTATGAATCATTTCAGTCTGTAATCTGGTTAATAAATGAAAAGCAGTTTTTTTTTGTTTATTTTAGATCAGTGACCTTTTTTGTTTCTACAGGTTTGATAATCTTCAGTCAGTGGCGCTAAACTGCAAGGAGGTGAATGGACCAGGGCCTCCAGGAGAAATCAGGAAAACAGCACCTAGTATCCTGAATTGCATGTCGTTTTAGTGACAAGAGGCTATCTAGACACACTGACGCAACCATTATTTTTCTGTTACTGACACAATATTTATTTTGCTGCTCTTCTTGCAGTTTTTAAAACAAATATCTAAAACTACATTAAAACTGTAGCTGGATCAGGACTAGTGTGCTAAGATTTTTGGTAGAAGTACGGTATGTCAGACAACAGACCAAATTTGGGAAAAATTAATCTCCTCAAATGTTTCCATATCRACAAGTGAGAGAGCTGTTCTATTTTCAGTTGAGTTGTACTGCCAGTTAAAGACAGGAYCACATCTTCTCAGTATCATGGCCAACATCTTGAATATTTCCCGACAACATGCAAATAACCAAATAATCCCTCTCTACAAGAGTGGTGAGAAACATATGTTTACAAACTATAGACCAATGTCATTATTACAACAGTTCCTTTTCAGTCATTTCACTCAGTACAACACACAGTTGTATATGGGACACCTGGCTGAAGCCACCTCTAATCACATCTTTAGACCGGTGACGTGGTGACGTTCAACGTCGGGTGACAGGCTCCGCCTTCACCCTATAAGTTCGGAGTCACCAGCATCATTACTCAGTTCTATCGCCCTTCACCTCGCGATAGTCACCTCTAAACCTGAGCTCACATAGCTGCAGCTAATTYGCTCAGCTTCTAAACTTCTTASGCTAGCTTTACTGGTGCTAACCGTGTTACCTGCTGGTTCTTGTGTCTGCCGCTCGACGCTACTTAAGTGACCTTTATTTTCTGCTGAAACTAGCCAGCCTAACCAGATGGCCAAGCCACCTCAACTTGCTCCTCTTAACATGGAAGAGCAGCTTCTCTACTCTGAGTCCCTCACAGATGACCGAGCTTCTCACCCTATCTCTAAGGGAGAGCCCAGACACCCTGCAGAGGAAACTCATTTCGACCGCTTGTATCCGCGATCTCGTTCTTTCAGTCACTACCCAAAGTTCGTGATCATAGATGAGGGTTGGAACATAGACGACTGGTAAATAGAGAGCTGATCCAGAAGACGACGCTCTTTCTTCACTACAACAGACCGGTACAGCGCTCGCATCACTGCAGATGCAGCACCAATCCACCTATCGATCTCCCGTTCCATTCTTCCCTCATTCATGAACAAGACCCTGAGATACTTAAACTCCTCCACTTGGGGCAGGACCTCCTCCCCAACCCGGAGAAGGCACCCTACCTTTTTCTGGCTAAAGACCATGGTCTCGGTTTTGGAGGCACGGATCCTCATCCCTGCCACTTCATACTCGGCTGRGWACTGCTTCAGTGAGAGCTGGAGATCACGACCTGATGAAGCCAATAGTACCACATCATCCGTAAAAAGCAGAGATGCGATCCTGAGGTCATCAAAACAAATCCCCTCAACACCTTGGCTGCCCCTAGAAATTCTGTCCATAACAGTTGTGATAGTGGTTCACGAGGCTCGGAATTGAGAACCACTTGTTTAACCCCACTGTAAACATCCTAGATATACCTACCAAACCACATTCCCAACCATTCCTGACCTCTCCTCTAATGCTCACCATTTTATGCCTATTCAACTACATCTTACACAGTACATAGAAATCAATAGGCTATCCCTAATGGTCTCTTGCAACAGCTGAAAAAGATCCCACACTTTTGAGCTCTGTTGTCAGGTAGCCATGATACCAGAGCCTGTCTGTATAATGTCTTGTGACGTCCATGGCCTACCCCAGTTACCACTACTGTGCATGTGTGTCAAGGACAGAAAGGCAGATGTGGCAGTGGAAGGTGTCAAAGCAGTTTGGAGAGAAAAACAAAGTAAAGAACAAAAAGAAAAAAGAAAACGATTAATCGATTATTAAATTAGTCATCGATTATTTTAAAGGAGACCTATTACGCAAAATTCTCAACTTTGGGTATGTACTTCTTAAAAAAACAGTCCTAGGACCAAAAAACTGCACCCAGGGGCATATTTACTGTAAGTAAATGTATTTTTAATGTATATTAATGACAAGTTTTATACTTCCATCATTTTGTGATGTCACAAACCGTACGACAACCCACAGGAACCTGCGTTCAGCCCCTTACCTAGCAACCTCCAGGTGAGACTCCACCTCCTCGGTATAAAAAGCCATCACGGTTGTTGTTGTTGTGCAATGCGTAGCTCATTTCACAACAAGTCTCCAAACATGTTTACACACACAGCTACCTCCTTGGCCTCTAAGTGGTGAGTGGAGATAACTTTGTGTGTGGGATCAATGTTAATGTACTTTAACAGCCGTGATCAGATGTTCAGTGGTTGGAACTCGGCAGTTCTCTGTTGGCATCTTGGGAAGATGTATCTGCCATCACRGAGCAGCTGGAGATGCTGACGCAACTTCAGCTCAGGTAAAGCTTCTTCTTCTGAACGTTTTTTTTATTCTTGGCTTTTTACAAACTAAACACTTATTTCATGTTTACCTTTTAGCAACAACAGATTAAGATTACCGTCTGACCCCTGGTCTCACTGCCAGGCTTTCTCCAACGTCAGAATCCTTACCCTAAACAATTGTATGCTCTCCTGGCCGCAGGTAAATACCCCTGTACACTCCACACATCAAACACATCTCTACATTTCCTCACCAATCTGCAGGTTTTGGACTAACTGCAGGTTCGGAACAATCTGCAGGTCCTAGATTAACTGTAGTTTCTGAACTATCTGCACACTCTGAACTATCTGTGTTGCCCTAAGCTGCACAGCCTTCTTCCTCCAAGGGTAGACCCAGACGAGCTCCCCTGATGTAAAGTGTCTGCCTTTAGCTCTCACATCATTGTTCCGTTTTTGCTGCAACCCCGCAATTTGCTGTCTCCTAGCAAATGTGTGTGCAGTCTCCAACCTGTCTTGAAGTTTTGTGGCATACTCGAGACCAGCTGAGACAGCAGGTGCATCAGGGGGAAGTCTGAAAGACAGTTCTGCTGGTGTGTGCAGCTCTCTCCACCAGTGTTGTTTTTGAACAAAATACTTCTTAGTTTTACTCAGTTTTAGTCATTTCTATATTTATTGGTTTTAGTCGACGAAAGCTT